TCTCCAAGTATAGGGGAGTCAAAGAGGACTCCCTCTTGAGATGGTTCGTCGAATTGGATGACGCCATAAGGGCGCGTCGCATCGACGACGGGGATTTGCAAGTTGCATTTGCCCAATCAAATCTGGCAGGACGTGCCAAGACTTAAGCTTTGGGGCTCAAGTTGCACGACCCATATGCGTGTGTGTGTGTTTTTTTGGGTCGTTAGAAGTCTGCAAGTCGCGGCTCAGACAAACGTTTGAACCGCCTGGAGCTGAGTTCAGAGCTCGAGCCGAACTCTTGAAGCTCAAGCAGGGTAAGCGTGATGTGCACGCTTACGCGCAACATATACGACATCTCACGAGTTGTATAAGTTCCAACCCGGTGGATGAACACACGTTGGTTTCGGTGTTCGTGCAGGGTCTTGCGGATGGTCCCGTCAAGACTCACCTGTTCCGACTTGAACTAGATTCACTAGAACAAGCCATTTCCATTGCGGAACAGGAAGACTTCAGTCTGAGACAGGCTCGCGCCAGCTCGACATCATATCGTCAACCGAGACGATATGACAGCGGAGGTCCATAGCCGATGGAACTCTGTTATGTAGAGAGCGAGAAGGCTCGCTCTACAGACTACAAGAAGTTGCAGAGATGCAACAGATGTCAAAAGACAGGACACTACGCTTACGAGTGTAGTGCCCCTCGTCCAGTGTCTCGCCACACTGGGCGTAGTGACCGTCCACCCATGAGAAAGGGGCAGGGACGAGGGTCCGCTGTTGGTGCAAAGACGCAACATCGGGATGGACCGTAAAAAAACGGACAGGATCAGTAGGTGCGGAGCACCCTACTGGTCCAGCAACGTCAAGAGAATTTGTGGGCCTCTTGATGAAAGTTGCTCCCAACACACAAACGTTGTGCGTTGCTGCTCTAGGTAATGAGATCTCACTCATTACCTTGAAACTCGAAGTGACAAATAAATTGTCCATTCGAGCTCTAGTCGATTGTGGGGCGTCCAACAATTTTGTGCGACGCCAATCGCTAGAAGATGGTCACTTTAAGTTCAGTGAATGTGACACACCCCCTACGAGGATGACGGTACGTCTTGCGACAGGCGCATCCGTAACCGTCATGAAGCGTATAGTGAGTATCCACTATACGCTAGAAGATACCCAATATGATGATGACTTTATCGTATTGGATTTGCATGAAATATTTGATGTCATACTTGGAATACCGTGGCTCAGAAGGTACGAACCACGGGTAAACTGGCAACATCGAACAGTAACGATGCCTGCCGCTTGTTCATCAGATGGCCATCTAATGAACGTTTTGGAGCGTCCACAAGCGTGTGGATGTGCTACGAGTGAGTGCGATGGCCTCACTTGTGGTACGGTCGTTAGTACGACTGCACAAAACCTTAGTGTGACAAACGGTTACACTTCGGAGCAAAGTTCCGGCGGCTGTGAGGAAACACAGGCTGCGCCGAAGGTCCACCACTCGAATAAGTCGGGTGGACTGGGACAAAGATGTATCCCTAGCGGGGAACATCCAGAAGAGAAACAATCGATCGCTCAGGTTAAGCGAAACGATAATCCTAGATCGACTGGAGAGTCTTTCGTAGAGGATCTCGCTGTGGTTGCGCAACCACAGCTAGAGGAAGTAAAGGGAATAAGTCCCAATATTACAAATACGGCGGAAACAAGTTCCCCGAAACCCGCGGGAATAAGTCCCCGGGAAGCCGAAGGAATAAGTCCTTCGAGGCCTGAGGGAATAAGTCCCCAGGAAATGACAGAGACATTGAATGTCATAGTCAATGACGGATCAAGTGTAGGCGCTTATACACTTGATCTAATTGCGCCTCCGAAGTTGACTTCGGAGATCACTCAGTTGCCAACGCTCTAACACAAAAGGTTCTTGCGTGATCTGCGTAGTGGCAAAGTCAAGCAGATCTGCATACTCGTCGCTGACGACGAGTGTGTAGCCGGCATAAGGTCAGCAACAGTGTTTACTGAGAACGAGAGAGTTCTCAGTAGTTCATCTATGGACGAGAGTGTCCTAGATGAAAAGACACGAGTCGAGCGATACGACTCTCAATCGTGCAAATCGCTCAAGACAAATCCTCTCTATGAAGATTTGGTTGAATTCAAGGATGTATTCCCTGAAACTGTTCCGTGCGAATTACCGAAGGATAAAGGTATTCGACACGAGGTCGAGCTTAAACCAGGCTCGAAGTACTGTGTCATGAAGCAGTGGCCACTTCCTCGTGAACAAGTACTTGCGATCGACAAGTTCTTTGCCGATCGTTTAGCTGCGGGCCATGTGGGGGAATCAACTTCCCCACATAGCTCTCCGACCTTCTGTGTGCGAAAAGCAACAGGAGGGTGGCGGATAGTGCACGCGTTCAACAAATTGAATGCTGCAACGGTACTGGCTCAGACGCCGATACCGAGGAAGGTCGTAATCATTGATGGTACTTCAAAGAGTATGATCTTTTCGTCCATGGATTTGATGGATGGCTTCTATCAAATCCTTTTGCGAGAACGGGGTATACCCTATACCGCAGTTAGCACGCCTAGCGGCATGCTCTGGGAATGGCTAGTAATGCCACAAGGGCTTAGTAATGCCCCTGCCACGTTCAACAGATGTGTATCACATCTGTTGAGACCAGTACGAGAATTCGCGCCGAGTTATTTCGATGACGTATTCATCCATAGTCGAGCTATGGATGGAAAGTCGGACGTTGAGGTTCACAGGTACCACGTCCGACAGGTTCTTACAATCATGCGAAAGCACCAATTGTATGCAAACCCCAAGAAGTGTATATTTACAGCAAGCGAAATACCACTTCTTGGGTGCATCGTTGGTAAGAACGGTGTACGTCCTGATCCCGAAAAGATCAAGGCGATCACCGACTGGCCTGTGCTAGATGATGTCAAAGGTCTTCGAAAATTCCTTGGGCTAGCGGCGTATTTGCATAAGTATTCACGCAATTACGCCAAGATGACTGTACACCTCTCTCGTTTGTTGAAAAGAACGAGAGGTGGTTATGGAACGCTGAATGTCAGCGCTCCTTTGATGGTATCAAGCAAATATTGATACAATCCCCAGTCCTAGCAATAGCCGATCAGGACAGGCCATTTCATGTGGTCTGTGATGCCAGCGATTTCGCAATCGGCTGTGCATTAATGCAGTACGATCTTGAAGGCTTTGAACGCGTCGTCTGCTATCAGTCGCGTCAGCTGTAACCAGCTGAGCGGAACTATCCAGTGCATGACAAGGAACTACTTGCCATGAAGTATGCACTCGCGACGTACAGAGTCTATCTATTAGGAGATAGACCCTTCATTGTCTACACTGACCATGCGTCATTACGCACGGCAGTGAACAGCCCGCACCTTTCTCAACGAATGGCGCGGTGGTTTTCATTCTTTGCAGAATACAACTTTACGGTCGAGTACAAACCAGGACGACTTAATGTCGTCGCTGATGCACTCTCACGTCGTCCCGACTTTGAACCAGTCGTGAAACCAAACAGTGAGACAGTTACTGTTGCGGTTATGACGTCCTCAGTCCCATCTACAACGTTGTATGATGATGTGAGGCGGGCATACGCCCAAGATGGTGAGATTGTGAAGTTGTTGACACATCTCTCACAGCCATCTCGAGAATTGTTGAAACGATTATCGTCTGCGTATCGATCTGCATCAGATCGATACACTACTCGCAACGGGTTACTGTATTATACAGCCGTTTCTGGTGACACACCACGTGTTGTCATTCCAGATGATACTGATCTGCGTTTGCGGATCATGTTCGAGTATCACGATGCTCCTATAGGAGGACATCGTGGCCGGGAGAAAACTTATCTCACGGTGAGTCGAGACTTTTACTGGCCCCGCCAGTATCAGTTTGTGCGAAAGCATGTTCGCGCATGCGAAGTCTGTCAACGAGTGAAGTCAAGTCCTTCACTGCGTGCACCTTTACAGCCTCTACCGGTTCCGGCTGAGTGCTGGGAATCCATCTCAATGGATTTCGTCTCAGGGTTACCCAAAGGCGCACGCGGGAATACGGGTATTCTCGTATTTGTTGACAGATTCAGCAAAATGGTACACCTTGTGGCTGTACCAGAGTCAATCACGGCAAGTGGCTGTGCTTGTGTCTTTATTGACACCATCTTCCAACTTCATGGGTTGTCCCGTGAACTCGTATCAGACAGAGATCCACGACCCACTGCTGATTTCTGGCGTTCCGTGTTCAAATCACTCGGACGCGCTTGAAGATGTCAACATCTGATCATCCAGAGCCAGATGGTCAGACGGAACGCGCCAATCGTGTCCTTAAAGAGATACTTCGAGGATACGTACACTCCTTTAAGAGTTGGAGTGACTTTTTTCCAATGGTAGATTTTGCCATCAACAACTCGGTGCATGCGTCCACGACCCATACACCGTTTTACGTGAATGGCTTGCGCCATCCGCGTATACCCACCTTACTAGAGTAAAACTATGGTTTAAGGGGGGGAGGGACTCGCGCGAGCAAAAACCGATTTGGTTCACGCTCATCACGCTCTGACGAAGAGGTCATTGCGTTTGATGCCGATTTCGATAACATCGATATCGAAGAAGATGATGCCAGTGAGAGTGCGGAAGCCCTCACTGAAGAAAAGATTGATGTTGCTGCAGTGCACTCACAGCGCACTGAAGCTAACGAGTCATCAGATGAGTTCATACTGGCTCGTAAAACGTTATTCCTTTTTGTGCAAGACTTTATCGCCGAAGCGGTGGATAAGCAAAAGCAAAACGCTGACAAGAAAGGAAGGGCAAACACTCTTTTATTTAATAAAGGTGACTTAGTCCTACTGTCTACGGTTAATCTACCAAAGCATGTAGTGACTAACTTGGGTAGCAGTAAACTACTACCCAAGTACATCGGCCCATTTCGTGTATTGCACCGCCTAGGCAATGCATACACGATCGAGTTGCCACGTAAGATGCGAACGCATCCCACGTTTTACGTTGGTCGGCTTAAGCCGTACCATCAGTACGCTTCTTCTTCCGATGAAGAACGCCCTTGCGCTCAAGCATCTCGCAGAGAGCCTTGTGCTCCCGATGATGGGCATCGACAAGGGTCTGGAGAGCAGTTATCTCATCCCGAGACCGATCAACAATCCCACGAGATACCCTTAGCTCGTCACGAAGAGATGTCAGAGCTCTCTCGTTCTCAAGCTGAGCAAAGGCAAACTCAGCTCGATGCTTCGAGACAGTGTCCGCCATTTGTAGACGCCTGTCCTGCTCATGTTCGAGATCTCCGCGTAACCCTTGCGTTACGCGATCAAAGAAGCTCTCGGGAACACACGGATCCCCATGATCGTGTGGAGAGCGTCTTCCCTCCTCCTCCACCTCCATTAGAGGACTCTCGCGGTGGCCAGCGCTATCTAGTTGAGCAGATGTTGAACCACCGCAACGTGAACGGACGTCGGACGAGTTATCTCGTCCGGTGGCGCGGCTATCCCCCGTCCTGGGATACTTGGGAGCCCCGCTCCCAACTGATGATTGACGCACTGGTTCTGGTTGAGCAGTACGACGCGGCACATCCTGTGCCACAGAAGGACCGCCGGAGAAAGTCTTCCCGGCACGGTCGTAAAGGGATTTCAGGTTGTCAATCCCTTCGTACATCTCAGTAGAGATACGTACGCGCCACCACGGGCTAGTAAGGAGGTAAGCCTCCTTAGGTGCTCGTGCAGAGTTGTTCACACAACATGGGCACGAGTCTCCCCAAGAGAGGCAGGGTAATCCCTTCTCCCTTGACAGACGATGCAGCTTGTAGCGTGCACCTGTCGGGGTTCGCTTTTCAAACTTATCACGAGCTTTGATAAGTTTGTCGTTCCAAGCGTCACGACCTACATCCTCAAGGTTATGGATGTAGGCGTTCCACGCTTAAAGCAGTGAGGGACCATCACGCTTGTGATTCCCGCTGTACCATCGATGTCTAAAGAAAGCATCGATGAAGAATTCATTCTCAGCGCGATAGTTATTCACGCTGGGGTCAAGGTGATGGATCCTTGACGAATCGAACAACCGTGTTCGATAACGATCACTCGTCATCGCCGACAAGTGATCCATGACAGATTTAGGAGGCATCCATGACTTCTTCTCGGGAGCGAGACGCAAGACATTGCGATCCCGTTCTTCCTGCGATGTGCCGACAGAAGTACTGGCACCTCGTTGCGAAGTGGTGTCCATAGGAGAACCGACACCACTGTTAGCGCCCGAGTCTCGCGACCTCGAGCGCCTTCGCTTCGGCGATGGTTCATCTGATTCATCGGATGAACCAAAGATGCTGTGACGCATAGCATCGTCCATGCCACGCTTGGCAGGCGGCTTGAATTTAATCGCCGTCGATACGGATCCGTCTTCCGTATCAAGAGAGTATGAGACACCGAGCTCATACTCTGTGAAGACATGAGTGTCTTCATGACCAGCGCCTGCATCACCAAGTGACACAGGCTGAGTCGCTTCAGCAATCGATGAGACATCAGTTGCTGTGGTTTGTGCTTCGGCGTCCGCACAAAGACGTGCGGACGCGCTCTCGGCGGCCTTGCTCGCGCATGGGCTTGTTAACCATGCGATGAGATGTTGGAAAGTGGACTCGGACCAACAAGTGCAAACCCTGTCCCAAATGATTTGGGACGAGTATCCATTTAGTCAATCAGTCACTAAAGTGACTGATGGTTAAGGGGGGGGTGATGTAACGGGGTGAATCGTTACATAACAATTTATAAGCAATTGTTAATAGAATATAACTATAAGAGTTATATTCTCAGATTATTGTCATAAGGACAAATATTCTGCAGCACTTACGAGTAGTTCCTAACTGGTTGATATAGGCCATTATATCAACCAACGAAGACGCGCCACGACAGACGCACGCAATGAGTGGTGAGCAGATAATTGATTTACACATTTGTATTTAGACATAGTTAGATGAAGATAAATAGTGATTTATTGCAGACATTAACTATTATAAATACAGTTCTACTTTATACTTAAACTAAGTACTCGCTTCTTCTTACCGTCTTCCTCTGCACGTACGAGTGTACGTGAAGTTACGAGGCACCGCCTTATTCTGTCATCAGAATAAGTAGCTTGTACTGTCACCAGTACAAGCTTCAGAATGCCCCGTTACATCTGTAGTTAATCTACTTAAGCTATCGATTTAACTCTAATCTTTATCTAACTATGTTAAACTACGTCGTCGTATGACGACGACCTGCTCACCACTCATTGCGTGCGTCTAGCAGTGATTGGTGGTAATTCATGGTTTAAATGTCTTCTATCAACTAATCTTGGAGCAGCGCGTGAAAATTATCCAAAAGGGGATTACAGTCCTTCAAATTTGTCCATCTTGGATAAAATCGGTAGAATATTGTCATGCTAGACAATATTCCTGTTGACACCTTTTGGTATCAATTTCAAGTAACGGACTACCTTGTTACATTCAGACGTCAAGAAGGTCGCGCATACTATAACTAAGTGGTTTACCTATTAGTTAGATGGGGATCAGGAATTCTCACCTCCCCCAACTGCGATTTGTCGCAGCAAGATCGCACAGGACAATGCGCATGATTGCGAGACTAATCAAGTGGTCAGAAGGCTCGCGTCTCAAGCATCCTCACAGTGAATAAGGCGATCTCGTTGAGGTTTTTAGTGACCTACAAGAAGTAACCTACCTGTAACGGGGTAGCCCGTTACACGAAATTGACACTAAACAGTGTCAACAGGAATATTGTCTAGTATGACAAGATTCTACCGATATTATCCAAGATGGATAGTATTGAAGGACGTAATCCCCTTTTGGATAATTTTCACGCGCTGCTCCAAGATTGGTTGATAGAAGACATTTAAACCATGAATTACCACCAATCGCTGCTAGACGCACGCAATGAGTGGTGAGCAGGTCGTCGTCATACGACGACGTAGTTTAATATAGTTAGATAAAGATTAGAGTTAAATCGATAGCTTAAGTAGATTAACTACAGATGTAACGGGGCATTCTGAAGCTTGCACTGGTGACAGTACAAGATACTTATTCTGATGACAGAATAAGGCGGTGCCTCGTAACTTCACGTACACTCGTACATGCAGAGGAAGACGGTAAGAAGAAGCGAGTACTTAGTTTAAGTAAAAAGTAGAACTGTATTTCTAATAGTTAATGTCTGCAATAAATCACTATTTATCTTCATCTAACTATGTCTAAATACAAATGTGTAAATCAATTATCTGCTCACCACTCATTGCGTGCGTCTGTCGTGGCGCGTCTTCGTTGGTTGATATAATGGCCTATATCAACCAGTTAGGAACTACTCGTAAGTGCTGCAGAATATTTGTCCTTATGACAATATTCTGAGAATGTAACTCTTATAGTTATATTCTATTAACAATTGCTTAGAAATTGTTATGTAACGATTCACCCCGTTACATCACCCCCCCTTAACCATCAGGCACTTTAGTGACTGATTGACTAAATGGATACTCGTCCCAAATCATTTGGGACAGGGTTTGCACTTGTTGGTCCGAGTCCACTTTCCACCATCTCATCGCATGGTTAACAAGCCCATGCGATGCGCGAGCAAGGCCGCCGAGAGCGCGTCCGCACGTCTCTGTGCGGACGCCGAAGCACAAACCACAGCATCTGATGTCTCATCGATTGCTGAAGCGACTCAGCCTGTGTCACTTGGTGATGCAGGCGCTGGTCATGAAGACACTCATGTCTTCACAGAGTATGAGCTCGGTGTCTCATACTCTCCTGATACGGAAGACGGATCCGTATCGACGGCGATTAAATTCAAGCCGCCTGCCAAGCGTGGCATGGACGATGCTATGCGTCACAGCATCTTTGGTTCATCCGATGAATCAGATCAACCATCGCCGAAGCGAAGGCGCTCGAGGTCGCGAGACTCGGGCGCTAACAGTGGTTTCGGTTCTCCTATGGACACCACTTCGCAACGAGGTGCCAGTACTTCTGTCGGCACATCGCAGGAAGAACGGGATCGCAATGTCTTGCGTCTCGCTCCCGAGAAGAAGGCATGGATGCCTCCTAAATCTGTCATGGATCACTTGTCGGCGATGACGAGTGATCGTTATCGAACACGATTGTTCGATTCGTCAAGGATCCATCACCTTGACCCCAGCGTGAATAACTGTCGCACTGAGAATGAATTCTTCATCGATGCTTTCTTTAGACATCGATGGTACAGCGGGAATCACAAGCGTGATGGTCCCTCACTGCTTTAAGCGTGGAGCGCCTACATCCATAACCTTGAGGATGTAGGTCGTGACGCTTGGAACGCCAAACTTATCAAAGCTCGTGATAAGTTTGAAAAGAGAACCCCGACAGGTACACGCTACAAGCTGCATCGTCTGTCAAGGGAGAAGGGATTACCCTGCCTCTCTTGGGGAGACTCGTGCCCATGTTGTGTGAACAACTCTGCACGAGCACCTAAGGAGGCTTACCTCCTTACTAGCCCGTGGTGGCGCGTACGTATCTCTACTGAGATGTACGAAGGGATTGACAACCTGAAATCCCTTTACGACCGTGCCGGGAAGACTTTCTCCGGCGGTCCTTCTGCGGCACAGGATGTGCCGCGTTGTACTGCTCAACCAGAACCAGTACGTCAATCATCAGTTGGGAGCGGGGCTCCCAAGTATCCCAGGATCGGGGGATAGCCGCGCCACCGGACGAGATAACTCGTCCGACGTCCGTTCACGTCGCGGTGGTTCAACAGCTGCTCAACTAGATAGCGCTGGCCACCGCGAGAGTCCTCTAATGGAGGTGGAGGAGGAGGGAAGACGCTCTCCACACGATCGTGGGGATCCGTGTGTTCCCGAGAGCTTCTTTGATCGCGTAACGCAAGGGTTACGCGGCGATCTCGAACATGAGCAGGACAGGCGTCTCCAAATGGCGGACACTGTCTTGAAGCATCGAGCTGAGTTTGCCTTTGCTCAGCTTGAGAACGAGAGAGCTCTGACATCTCTTCGTGACGAGCTAAGGGTATCTCGTGGGATTGTTGATCGGTCTCGGGATGAGATAACTGCTCTCCAGACCCTTGTCGATGCCCATCATCGGGAGCACAAGGCTCTCTGCGAGATGCTTGAGCGCAAGGGCGTTCTTCATCGGAAGAAGCAGTGTACTGATGGTACGTCTTAAGCCGACCAACGTAAAACGTGGGATGCGTTCGCATCTTACGTGGCAACTCGATCGTGTATGCATTGCCTAGGCGGTGCAATACACGAAATGGGCCGATGTACTTGGGTAGTAGTTTACTGCTACCCAAGTTAGTCACTACATGCTTTGGTAGATTAACCGTAGACAGTAGGACTAAGTCACCTTTATTAAATAAAAGAGTGTTTGCCCTTCCATACTTGTCTGCGTTTTGCTTTTGCTTATCCACCGCTTCGGCGATAAAGTCTTGCACAAAAAGGAATAACGTTTTACGAGCCAGTATGAACTCATCTGATGACTCGTTAGCTTCAGTGCGCTGTGAGCGCACTGCAGCGACATCAACCTTTTCTTCAGTGAGGGCTTCCGCACTCTCACTGGCATCATCTTCTTCGATATCGATGTTATCGATATCGGCATCAAACGCAATGACCTCTTCGTCAGAGCGTGATGAGCG